TGCTTTTGAATAACAAAGAGCTAAGTTTTTCCTGTCTTGCCCTCATGCTTTCCCACTAGTGAGAAGAATGATTCTACATTTTTATCATGAGAATACAAAGACAACTGCATTATTTAGCAATTCTGGGTGAAATTCAATGCTTGATTTTACCACCTTTTTGCTGTGATCGTTAAATGAATCACTGCAGCCATTAAGTAAATCACATGTTCGTCAAGTGAATCCAGTTTCCCCCATTGACATTGCTTGTTGGAAATCCCCTGGGGATCATGTGACCTCTGGATGCTGCAACCATTGGAAATACCTGCTGGTTGCCAAGCAACATGGCTGCAGGAACATTATGATGGTCATAAGTCACATTTTTCAGCACAATCATGACTTTGAACAGTTATTGAACAAATGGTTGTAAGTCAAGGACTACTTGTACCTTGCTATGTTTTTTTTTTCTTTATGTCTGCCTCTGCTTGCTGGTTTGTATTTTAATATCATAGAAACATTTCAGATAAAGATTGAGTGATTTCTGAAATATTTGAATCTCTTTTTAAAGCCACTTAGAGCATTTCCATACTTGAAATAGACCCACCATGTGAATTTTGTTTATATTTCCTCAGATGGAAGGGAAAAGGAATCACAGAAATGTAAAAAGTAAATAGTAACTTATAAAAGCTTGAAGTCCTCTCAGTTATGGTAAGAAACATCATGATAATGCCAGGAAACTACAACAGCCATCAGGTCTTGCTACGAGAAAACAAGAGACTGGTATCAATAAATTCACAGCACCTCTCAGTTCAAATACTGTATGTATGAAAGTAGTAACAAATGGTCTAGTGCTTAAGGCACCAGGCTAGAAAGAAGGAAACTGTGCCACTTTAGCCAGGAAAGCCAGCTAGGTGACTATGGGCCTACCCACCTCACAGGTGTTTGTTGTGGGAAAAATAGGAAAAAGAAGGTGTGTTGGATAGGTTCACCACCTTGAGTTGATTTGTAAAAATAATGATGGTGGCATGCAAATAAATAATAGAACTAGCACTTAGACATATATAGCGCTCCACAGTGCAAAATCAGCATATTGCTCCCAACAAGCTTGAGCTGGTCAGAATCGAATTCCTGACAGTTGGCAGAGTTAGCCTGAAGTACTGCATTCTAACCGCTGAACCACCACAGCTCTTACTTATTTTTATAAAAAATACAAATATAAAATATAAATAATCTCAGTATCAAATCTATTGCCTACTAGATTTATTCAAAATGTGTGCTGTGCATCCATCGCTGCTTCTTTCTGCAAGTTTGTTTGGGAACAGATTATTTCCATCTGAATTTTGTGTGGCGTTTGTCAATCTTGACATAAGCTAAGATAGAAATGATGTGGCTTTTGTGATCAAGCATTTGCCAGGACAGAGCATGTTAATTCCAGTATTCCCTCCAACTGGCTGAATTTCGGCTACAAGGTCCTCTTCCACATTGACTTCCACATGCAGGTAGCACCTTCCCTGTATTTGAAAGAAAGAAGCCTAAATTCAGTAAATAAACAAATTTTGCAAAGCATTTTGCACAGCATAAAATACATGCCTTTTAAAGTTTAAATACCTTTCCAGAATATATCTTTTTTAAAATATTATACTTAAATTGTGTTCCCCTGGACACCATCTACTTAATACTTAATATATCATTAAATGCTCTAGCAGACTTTGATTTAAACAGCTGTTCCCAATGCTACTAACAGACTTACTTATTACATCTTCCCAAGTGAAAAAAAGTCATCTAAATGTTCACCCATCTTTCTTAAAGGAAGAAATTTTATAAGAAATCTTTTTCAGCTTTTATCACCATCACCAAGGCACGGAGGAAGAAATAGAAGCAAACAGAAGCAAACAAGAATTTTAAAGCAGTGCAAAAGCAGAATTGCCTGATGGATGAAACCAAGAGTCAATTTTATCCAGGAATTTATTCTGAGAACCAATTTCTAGATATTTCTGATCTTGATACCATCAAAAATATCAATTGACTTTTCTGACTATTAAAATGAATCTTAATATTTTGAATCAGCATGCCTTTGAATGCTAAATACCTAGGAGAAGCAACAGGAGAAATCTATTTTTCTCATTTCTACTTTAATGTTATTGCATTTAAAAAAAAACCAATAGTTTTGTGCAAAATGACTAAGAAGCTGCAAATGCTCAGAAGCATAGCATAAAAGTGATATGCATCTTTTTAAAAAAATTGTTTGTAGCTTCCAATTAACAAACTAAATTTCATCCTAAATAGCTGGGATTCTGCATTTAGGTAGGAAAAGCAGATGCACAATTATAGATTAGTGGATGTCTGGCTTTACAGCTGTATATATAAAAAGCCACTAAATGTCTTCACAAACCATAAGAAACCCATGAGTTAGAAATGGGATGACAATTAAATTCTCTGTAAGCTGCCAAAAGTTTTTCTGGTTATGTCAAGAAAGCAATGTGTTTTATAAATAAATAAAAGTTTCAAAAATGGGCAAAACACAGTTCTAGCACAAAGCGGTTCTGAGTTTTAAAAAAAGAGGAGTTTTTCAAAACCTAAGACATGAAAAGCCAATGGGCATTTTAGCCTTTTCTCTTAAGTCTTTTCCATCTATTAGGGATTTTATGAGAAAAGTGATGAATAACTCACAGAGATCCACACCTTAATGTACTCACTAATAAATGAAGTTTTGGGTGCTTCAACACTAGAAGTTTTTTAGAAGATATTGGACAACCATTTGTCTGAAATAGTATAGGCCTTCCTGCCTAGGAAAGGGGTTAGGCTAGAAGACTGTTATTCTGTTATTCTGTTATTCTGAAGGCTGAAATATATCTAATTTAATTCCCAATATTCTGTAATTTTCTTTTACTTGGCATTAAGTCTGATTAATGAGACTTTATGCATGACTATAATTTACTTGGTTATAGGCTGCTATTAAGGATTGAAGCATCTAGGTTCTGGCAGGAAAAGTATTCTATCCAGATTGCAAGTAGCAATAGTATCTCTTTTCTTGCTTTGTTCAACTGTCACCTGAACTACTCTTTCAACCATCATTTAAGGATTCTGTATCAAAAAAATGCAGTATGAGATTGACAAAGATGATAAGACATTGGGACACCAAGTGACACAAAGGAATTGGATACATTTATCTTGAAGAAAAGACAATGAAGAATTGACACTGTCTTCTAAAATCAGGCAATGTCTGTTACCTGGGACAGAAAAATCAAAATCAACAAGTTCAGATTAAAAGGAATTGTTTCAATCTCCCCTCTTCTGCATCTTGATAACTAAAAAGCTATCTGCTCTTGCAGGAATCTCCCACATATGAAAAAAAAAACAGCTAAAACCAATTTTGTATATACAAGAAAGGGGCTTTTCAGTGGCCTCTGCAACATTTGTAGAATTCTTAACCCAATAAATTATTCTAGTGTCGGTTTCCTGTTTTAAGGCAATGCTGAAAACGTTCCAGAAGGAAGGGATGCCTTCAACTGGGTATTGACTGCCTGGACAAACCCTGAAGTCAGATTGGTAAAGTTTTTCAAAAGCAGTTGCCGTTGCCTCCTTCATGGGGCTGAGAATATGTCACTGGCTCAAGATCTCCAGCTGACTTTTTGCCTAAGTCAGGACTAGATTCTCTCACAGATCCCTTGTTTCTAGCCTGGTGCCTTAACCGTTGCACCAGACTGGCTCTTCTGGATTTAACTGATTTTATCCCCCTTCTGGTTAATATTTTAAAAGTTTCAGACATCTACATTTCATTTTGTTCTCTTTATCCTGGTGTAAAATGCACTCTATATTTTAAATTGTGTGTTGTCTGAATTTGCTTTTCCAAATGCTTTTTAATCAAAAAGACAAAGTACATTTCAAGAGATGAAAAAAACCTGTGGCTGATTACTTTTCTCCAACTCATAGCAATCCTTCTCAGTCCTTTTGTATCCAAAACTTAGTTCTTACACTAGTAAAATAGAAATGGATGAGAGAAACAGCTGGTCTTTGAATGAAAATACAAAGAAAATATAAAGATCTCTACAAACTATAGGTTTCCAGGACAGTATCAATTTCAACTGAGATACACATTTTATACAAAAGTGAAAGAGTTAGAGGCTGCCTAAAATGCTGGCTTTAGTGGTAAACGGTTACACCACGACTCAGAGATTATGTTTCCAGGCTTCCATATTCCAAATGTCTGCCATATGTCCTGATTGCATCAGGGTTTAAAAATTAACAAGAAAGCTGCTGAGGTATCATTAGGGCTTTGGTTAGAGGTTTAAACCATTGACTGTCTATGTTTTCATCTGTTGTAGAGAGTTGAAACTGAAATACTGAGTATTCAGGAGTGGGTTGGATTTAAAATAATAGATGAGCACACTCTGTGTGACTATGGGATATACTTGCTGCTTACAAGGCCCAGGTGTGTGTAGTAAGTTGTAATTATCCTTGCTTTTAATTTTTCCCCTCCAGGGAAATGATCTTCTAAGCAACTGTTTAACCCTTTCTTATCACAAAGGGTTTTTCTAACAATAAGGACAAAGAAGAATATCAGATTATATTTCTCTGTGTTTTTGCTTTTTCCTATATTCTCTGCCCCGCCACCAATCCTCGCTCCTTTCTTCCAACAACGAGGAGGCAAAGAGAGCAGAGCTTCAGTCAGATAGAAATTTCTCTACATGTTCATTGCACACAGCAAGCCAGGTGGGATTTCCCCTTAGGTTGTCAAATGTCAGTATCTGCTATGACATAGTTCACTGTGTTTGTTTGCTCTATAAATCATTTAGTTATGAAGGTTGAAAGTAATTCTGTGTGCCTTTCATCATTTCCTGCCTAGTTAGCCATGTGTTCCTCTTTTGTTTCTTGGGAAGCATTTTTCTTGTACTGGGTAGCCTTTCATGCAGCAGGTAACATGTGAATTTGGACACTAATAAGAAATGCATTCACTTCCAGGATAGAACTTTTTTTCAGCTCCTGTTCTGCATTTGTATTTCAGACATTCCCTATCTGTGACCATGACTTTACCAGTTGACTCAACTACGTACCATTGGCAATGGCCAAAAGAAGAAAGTTCACAGCTGGAATCAACCCCTCTCTTATCCTCTGACAAACCGAGGCAGAACCAGAAACACAACTGGGACAGATGGAGGATTGTCTTTCCTAGTAATGCTAGATTTCAAAAGGAGTTGGAAAGAGTCCTGAAGACATATTGCAAAAATGGGATACGAACCACAAAATATACTTTGCTGACCTTTGTACCCCAAAATCTCTTTGAACAATTTCACAGGTATGAAAATGCTCCATAAGAAAACCACAATGATGGTTAATTTTATATCTGTTTTCAGTAAATGGAAGAAAAGTATTCAAAAAAAAAAGAGTCATACAAAAAAGAGTATCATGCCTTTAGAGAGGTAAGAATCAGAATGTTATTGCAGATTTCAAGCTCCTCCTTTGGATTGTCATCAAATGTTTTCCATTATAGAAGTCAGGAATAGGCAACACAGCATTGGCACACACAATAATATTCACCAGTGTTTCACAACCTTGATAAGTTTAAGACATGTAGATTTCAACTCAGTCAGCATGCCAAGATACAGAGACACTGATGTATATGATTTTCCTACATAGTACCAAAAATTACAATAAAATAAAATTTAAAAATAACCAAAATGAGATTTTAAGTGACAATGCCGAAACCTTGAAAGATTTAAGCTAAATTTTGACCTATTCAAAGTCTCTCTATTATAGATCTGATTGACATCCGATATTCAATGAACTAAAAGTGGGAATTATTTATACAGTGTATAAATACTGTATATTAGAAAGAGTGCAGAGGAGAGCAACAAAGGTGATTACAGGACTAGAGGCTAGAACATATGAAGAATGGTTGCAGGAATTGGCTGGGTGTAGTTTAATGAAAAGAAGAACTAGGGGTGACATGATAGCAGTGTTCCAATATTTGAGGGACTGCCACAAGGAAGACAGGATCAATCTATTTTCCAAAGCACCTGAAAGCAGGACAAGAAGTGATGGATGGAAACCTATCAATGAAAGAACCAACTTAAGTCAAAGGAGAAAGTTCCTGACAGAATAATTAATCGGTAGAACGAATTGCCTCCAGACATGGTAGGTGCTTCATCACTGGAGGTTTTTAAGAAGAGAATGGACAATATTTGTCTGACATGGTATACGGCTTCCTGTTTAGCAGGGGATTGGAGGTCCCTTCCAACTCTGTTATTCTGTTCTGTTCAGTGTATTAGAGTGGAATCTAATACTCCTCTTTGGCATCATCTGTGGATGTGTGAGGAAAATTCACCTTCTCTCCCCTCCATACACACACACACACACACACACACTAAAATTTGTTTAAAGAAAGTCAGAAGAAAATCCATATCTCATGGGGAAGACTGCGGAAGGGAAGGATTGAATCCAAGTCCCATTGTGCAACAGGAAGTCACACAAGCAACACTGAATTCCATATTTGGATATGGGTGATGATTTATAAAATGAATAATAAGGGACAGTCCAATAGCATTTTAAAGAGCAGCTCATTTAGTATGACATGAGATACTATGCAATCTTTTCTCGGGCTATTTGAACAATAGATTGTGATGTGTGTTAGACATTGCCTAATTCCAGTGTGTTGGGAGAGGCTTGGTGATTCATTGGAAGCTATAAATAACACTTCTTTAAGTAACGAGATGGTCCAGATCCTCAGGGAGCTATTCTAAGCACCCTTCAGAAGAAGCTTTAATTAAATTCATCTGACCTGTGAAATTATAGACTAGTCTTGAGCAGCCCAGTCATAGCAACTGGGTCATGACAAAGCAGCTATACATTTTCTCTGGTGGAGTGGATGATTCAAAACAATTGAAAACCATCCCAAAGCTTGCTTGGGAAATTGAAATTGAAGCCATGAAGCTCTGCCTGTGGCTGTCAATAGTCTGTAGGTCAACATTTATATGGCTTTAATCTGCATAGAGTTTTTCATTTGGGCATAAGAATGTTCTTCACATTGTGAAGGGAAATAGAATAACAGATACTTGGGGGTTAGAGATATACACACACATACATATACATATACATATACATATGCGTGTGTATGTGTGTATATATGTATGTATGTATATGTATATATATAAAATTATATAATAATTATATAATTATATATATAATTATTTTGCTCACTAGCTCACTGCTTGAGCACTCTAGTTCCTAAGAGGCCACAGATGGATACCAGTCTTTGGCCCAGGGGTTGGCAACTCTGCTGTACACCATCTTGCCTATTTCAACCCTGTCCACATAGATGCTACAGCTGACTTCCCACTGTGCCACAAAGTAACTCATCTCAATTGAGTCTAATATTTCATGCAAAATCACCCTGCATGGTTAGTGTGGTCAGTCCATGATGGAAACACAAACATTTAATTTGGTTTAACCATGATAAATGCATTCCATAGGCATAGTTTTTGGAGAGAGTTAAGTTTAGCCATTAAAGCAAATGAACGAATAAGGGATTGATTGATCTCATTGCCTCACCAGAACAATAAGAAAGAGGATGAATGTAACAACTCCATTAATGATTCTATCTTTTTAGGTTGGCCAACATTTATTTCCTCATCTTGGTGATCATCAACTGGTTCCCACAACTGGAAGTTTTTCAGAGGGATATAACAATGGTACCTTTAATTGCTGTGCTTTTAGCTATAGCAGTTAAGGATGGCACTGAAGATTATAAGAGATACAAACTGGATCAGCAGATCAATTCTTCTAAAACAAAGGCATACAATAAGTAAGTCTACAAATTGTCATTATCTTATTATTACTGATATCCCTAACCCATACCTCATATTAATGTAAGCAATAAACTATCAAAATAAAATTTGTGGCAGAAGATAATTTTATCTTTATAATATTGCTGCAGTTTTGTTGGTGTATTCAATTTCCTGTTAAAAATTGTATCTCAAACACCAATTATGATGATTAGCACAAAATCAATCCTACTGTTGTGCTACGGTTATTTGGATTTGGATTATGCCATTGTTATTTGATGTATGATTTATTTCACATAAGCAATCGTATAATATACCTGGTTTTAGCTTATTGCTTTCAACCAATTCAGCCAATTCAGGTGGTTTCTTTAATCATCCATAGTTAAAGCATGGTTTAGGGTAATGTGTGAAGCCATTCTACAGATACTCCTCTTTCCATCAGAAAGGAATATATCTCCATTCCTTTGGACATTGCTTTGAATAATGTTTTGACAGTGCAGACAGCAAGCATTTTGAGGAACGGCATACAAATTATGGAAAACAGTGTACCAACAAGTTGCTCTGCATGTAATTTTCATGCAGAGAAATGTGATTGCTTGGAGTTGTTTTAAATTTCAAGTATTTATAATTATAAAGGCCATATAATCCATACATATCTAAGATTCAAATAAGAGGCCAGTGAGCTTCTATCTTCTAGTTTATACTATTCAGAAAGTTTCAGTGTCATTGTACAGCCAAGAAAAAAAAAATCCAGATCAACAGCAAAGCAGGCACTAGGACCCAGGATCACTGTTTTTGATGGCAGCAAAACTGGTTTGCAGAAGGATGACACCTCTGTGTTTCAACAGGTGTTGACTAAAACAAGCAAAAGCAGTTGGCTCAATTAAATGCAGCCTGACACTTCTCCCTGGAATAAACCAACTGGAATAGTTTGTGTTTTAATTCTTTAAGTGTAGCTTTGAAGGGGCAGGAAGATGTTGAGGAAATGTGCTCAGTAACTTTCCTACGGGATATACATTGGTTCAGAAGACCGTGCTGCCAGAGCGTTGTCTCAGAGACTGAGAGTGTGGAATCTGCGACGAGAAGGAAAGGGGAAAGGAATGAAGAAACTAAACGAGTTGTGCTGTCGAACTTGCTCTTCGAAGGCAAGTGGAAAGAAAATCCAAACAGACATTGTGCAGGCAACAAAATCAAGACCACCCGATACACATTCTTGTCTTTTATCCCTAAAAATGTTTTTGAACAGTTTCACCGCTTTGCCAACATATATTTTGTGGCCATCGTTGTTCTTAATTTCGTGCCAGTAGTCAATGTCTTTGAGCCAGGAATATCTGTGTTGCCTGTCTGTGTTATAATGGCCATCACTGCTCTTAAAGATGCTTGGGAAGACTTCCGGAGATACAAGCTGGACAAGGAGATCAATAGCATGGGCTGCCTAGTATACAGCAGGTAAATACCTTTTGGGATGTAGTTTGGGGAGGTTTCAGAAGCAACTTTAATGAGCCGTCAAATATTATCCAATATTATTTAGTACTAATGCAACTTTGGTTTAAATAATCTAGTGAGATTTTTTCTAGTAAGCCCACCCAGGTTGCTTTCTTCTGCTTCTTTCCCTGTTCCAAAGTAAACTTATGTGATGTATCATAGAGATGCAGTGTCCATTGCAAAGACAATACCCAAGAATTGAGTTTATACCTTTGGCAATTTCAGTTTTTCCTCCTTTCTAAATGATTCCCAACATGTTTTGTTTTTGTTTTGTTTTGTTTTTTCACAGCTATCGTATACATAGTGACCCTTTTATATCACTAATCAGATTGCTAATCATAACCTTTAAACATTTAAGTAAAATCAGAACAGTGAGCAAAATATGCGTACAGTTTCTGTAATACGTTGAATAGCCTATCTCTTGGTTTTTGAAAAATGATACCTGTGCTGCTGTCATCATTTACTGAACTGTCAAGTTTTGATAATCCTGTAAAGGTAATATTTAACATATAATTATTGTTAGTATTCAGTTTATTATTAAATTTCTGTTCTTAATTTCTTGGCCTAAAGGAGAACTATTGAGGAAGCTAAAATTTTGCATGGGGACGCTAGCCCAGTTCAGACACCACACTCAAACCACAAAACAACCACCAGAGATATCCTTAAAGCCTCAGAGTTTCCTTCTCCTCCTTCCTTCACCCTTCTGGTATTACAATTCCTTCTCTCACTTCCTTGGCCACCATACTTTGTCACCCACACAAAATAAGGCCAATGATGATTCACACAACAGTACTTTACATACATACCAGAATTCAAAACCAAAAGTTTGAATTGGGTTACTTATGCTGCCTTACAGATAGCAAATGAGATTTTTCCTCCAAGTTTGGTTGTAATTTACCTATTTTACCTATAAACTATGAAGAATCAAGAAGAGAAGTTGAATTTGAATTTGTCTGAGTGAACCACTGAACCATGTGAGGAACATTTCATCTTTAGCTATGGACCCTGAAGTCATGATACAGATCCATATTATTGTCCCTATTAGTGGTCAATCTGATACAGATTGGCACAGATCCATATTATTGTCCCTATTAGTGGTCTTAGAAATAGGAAAAGAGAATTTTATTACTATCTGTACCTTTTTCCTGAGTTTCTAAAGAATGGAGAAGTGTTAATCTGAATTTTGCCCCATATCTCTATCATTTCTATCTCTAACTTCACCTCCATATCCTGCTTTAAATTTAGATTAACTCACTAAATTCCAAATATTTTCCTAGGCCTCCCAGTCTCTGTAGCATAAATATACCACAAGATTCTCTTTTTTGGCTAATAGGCCAATTTCTTATATATTTTAGTAAGGTTGGGACAGCATTTCCATGGGCATTTACTATAAAGGCTTTGTTTCTTTGCAAGGTTAGAATATCCAAACTGTGGCTTTCCATGATGTTTAGCTATGGGTAGAACATTCTTTGTTACCATTTGTCATCTGAACAGCAAGTTGGCACAAGTATGGAACTAAATTTCAGATAAAAGTCTAGGAAATGATAGTGTACAGGTATATATTTGAGTACCATACTATTAGACAAGATCTGTTTCCTTGCCACATAAGAGAAAAGTAAAACAAATATTTTCTTCAATAGCAACAAATTTTGATGATTTTTCCCCTTACTCAGAATTGCCCCTGGGCTCTGACTTAAACTCAAAATTAGAGGAAGCTGAACTAGAAGAGGGGAACTGCTTTCCCTAAGGCAAGTGATGATTTTTGGCTAGTTGGACGGGGGCACTTAGTTTACTTCCTGGTGCCACTTAGAACTTTCCATACTTCCGGAAGTGGCAGGATTTAAAATAAATAAAAATAAAACTAAGATGATAGTCAAATCTGTACAACAAAACAGAAAGTAGAATTAGAAAACATAATGGGACTGCAAATAATAAAAAGGTAAAATACCTGGGAATTTGGATGTCACACAGATGTTCATCATTAAAAGAGGACAATTATGTTAAACTGGTTAAGCAAATCAGAAAAGAATTGGAATTATGAGCCAAACTGAAACTGTCTATGTTTTGTTTGAGCAATGAGAGGCTGAACCAGAGCATGAGTGCAACAATACTTTATTTTACAATAAAGGGCTGACCGTGCTTGCCAAGCCTGGAACTGGCTCGCAGCAATCAGCAACCGGTTGGACCCCGCAGCCTGCATTTATAGCTGGCTGCTGGGGAGAGCCAACCAATGGGAATGGGGGAATAACGCCCACGTAAAGTGAGTGGACCTGAGTGAGAACTCCTTGAGTCCTCAGGACATAACACCCCTTCCCCCCAGATGCGAACATGCATAGTCCTTGAGGTAGACGGGGGGTTTGTGTTGGCGCCCGGAACGGCGCAACTCGGGAACATTGTCTGTCTGTTCGGTACCAGCCTGTGATGGTCGAGCCGGCATAGTGTCGCCAACACTCTCTCTGGACTGGGCATCCTCGGGAAACACCGGGTTGGTTACTGGGGTCGAGCTCTCGTGGGTTGGATCAGGCTGGTCAACTCTCTGGGCGCTGTTGTCTGAGTTTGGGCTGACCGGAACGACCGCTGGTGCAGACTGGTCGCTGGGTACGATGTGGCTGGGCGGCGGATGAGGCGGCTCCCCTTCGACTGGAGACTCTGGACTCTTGTTGGCAAGGGTGCTGAGGCGCCTTCTAAGCTGGTCTATATGTCTCCTCCAGACGCGACCATCCTCCAGCCTGACTCTATACGATCTCGCCCCGGTGATGGCGATGACCTCGCCAGGAATCCAAAGTGGGTCCCCGGCGAAATTCCTTGCGAATATCGGTTCCTGTAACAAAAATTGTCTAACCCCCGACGTAGAAGCGAGGGGAGAGTCAGGGCAGTATTGTGGGTGCAATCTGTCCAATACAGTCCTCAGGCGCCGGCCCATCAGAAGTTCCGCTGGGGACTTATTGGTGACTGCACAGGGGTTTGAGTGTTGGCTCATCAGGAACCGTGCGAGTTTGTGGTGCCAGTCATCCCTGCCAAACCTAGCGAGGGCCTCTTTGGTGGTCCTGACGGCCCTTTCAGCCAACCCATTACTGGCAGGGTGAAATGGGGCTGTGAAAATGTGGCGAATGCCCAGGTTGGCAGCAAAACGGCTGAATTCTACTGATGCGAACTGTGGGCCATTATCAGAGACAATGGAGTCGGGTAGTCCATGTGTAACGAACAGGCGTGTTAACACGTTGGTGATTGCTAGTGTGGTGGTCGTGGATAGCTGCGCCACGTCTATCCATTTGGAATAAGCGTCCACGACCACTAGGAACATCTTTCCATGCACGGGGCCTGCCAGATCGATATGGATTCTAGACCAAGGGGCGTTGGCGCTCTCCCATCTGGTAGGGGTGGCGATAGGGGGAGCAGGACGGGATTCCTGGCAAATGCTGCAGGAACTTACCCAATTGACAATGTCCTCGTCTAGACCCGGCCACCACACGTAGCTGCGTGCTAACGCCTTCATTCTCACAATGCCGGGGTGTCCCTCGTGCAACGCCTCCAG